ATGAAATCGGATGTTTTCCACACCTAAAGACCAACGACAAAAGAATGGCGGCAACACTGATTGTGATTAAAGAAACTGGAAGCTAAATAATCAAAACAAAATAAATAATGGTCCAAAACAAATTGATTATTGACTAACACGATTTGCAAGTGAGAAAAATTATGCTTTAATTAGCAAGCGAACTGGAAAAGAAGTCGGATACTTTGGAAAACATTTAAATCATTGTGAGTATTACGAAAACCGTAAATTTTAGTTAAAAGAGTTCAGTGTTCCTTATGATCAATTGGCTTAAAACTTTTTAATGCTAATAAATTGGAATGACGTCATCGGCGGATGCAATCTTGATAAGAAAACTTCATTGAAAACTAATTTCTGCGTTCAAAACATGGTTAGCAGCATTGAGAAGTATAAAATTTAAAATTTAGCACAAACACAAGCCAAAAATGCTAACTAGCCTATTTTAGGTAATAGGTGTGGCCACAAGTGGCATACGTCATCGCTATTGTAGCAGCCACACACCAATGGCTTTGAGGTTGTTATTTTTAGCCGACGTTATCTACTGATTTTTAATTATGCTGCAATGTTGTTTTGTTGCTGAAACACATTGGATGCTCTCAAATGGCCACGTGTCGTAAAACTAATGACTAACAAATACATTTTTTTAATTTAATTTTTATTTATAGACGCAGACGCGTACGGGAATCAAGCATTAAAAATGAATAGATCCGACTCCATTCGTCGGGATCGCTCCTTCGACAGCGTTCTCAATAAGTTGATGCGTATGCGGTCACAGAACCATGAAACGTTCAAGGCAGCGATGTATAACTTTCTCATAGCAGCTGGCGTTGCTGCGTTTGTTGCCGTCTGCTTTATTTTAGGCCCATTTGTACGTCCCCTACTCTGGGCTTTTCTTATGGGCGCAGTCCTCTTCCCATTCAAAAGGCATTTGGCACAACTGCTGAATGGCTGGTTCGAGCGCCTGGAAGAGCGCGATTCAAATGTTATGGTATCGATTTGTTTAGCACCGCTTGAAGCCAGTGAATATTGTGGAAGTTTGGTAGTGAGCTGGTTGCGAGAACACTGGCAGCTATTGACAGCAGGCGTCGGCGCGGCTGCGTGCTTCAAACTGTTAATGCTCTATGCGCCTAAGGGATTTCTGTGTGCGGTTTGGCGTTTCGTCGTTTTTTCGCATAGCACTTTTGTACAATTAATTGGCTTTCTAAATATTTACATGGTGAGTATGTTTGGGGCTGACTATACATATGTAAGACAAATATGTAAAAATAAGTGTGTGATAAATTGTACTTTTATTTCAACAGCTATTTGCAATAATTGCAATCTACTTAACGTCTGTGTATTTTTTATGGAAGCCCGAAAATAGCACCAAGTTCGTCATGGCTGGCCAATCACTTTGGATGGCAATAGTTAGTTATGGTTGCAGCTTTTTAGGCGCACTGCAAGTACCAGCTTTTATTTTGATAATGTTGTATGTAGGTGCATCTATAATTTATCATATGCGCACTGCTGAAGGTTCCAGTAGTTATATAGATAAACTAAAAAAGTTATTGGACAAGACTGATTTTGAAAAGTCAGTAAGAAACATTAGCATCAAAAAGCAAAGTCTACATTCTGATACCGAAGATGTCTCGTTGACCGAGACGATAGATTCCCTAGATACTTCAGAGCTAGAAGGCGAGAAAGATTGCCCACATTTGAGTGATTTATATTTTAAATGTTTATTTTACGCCTGCATAGCAACATTTTTGTATCGCAACATATGGATGTTCATATTGGCCGCTATACCCATATCACTGCATTTATTATACACCTTTTGCAATATAACGGGCTTTACGGCGTTCATTTCAAATAAATTCAATGAAGTCTATGAAAACCTTAAGGTATGAATATGCCTCTAACTAAATCTTTCAAATAGAAAGTAAAGTTATTATTACATGTTTTATACAAAATTTTTGTTATAAAAATATATTAATCGTATTGTTTTTACCTCCTACTTTTCAGTCTTGGGCTATAGAACATCACTCTGCCGTATTGCCACTTTGTTTGCCGGGTGTGCTTGAATTGAATTATAAAATAAATGCTATCATACGTGATTCATTGAAGTCCTCCGTCGATTTAGTCACTTCCATACTGATGATTATTCTGATGCTTTTGCTCATTGTATTTTTAAGTGTATTTTTTTGTGTGAATATCTATTCGGAAACGATTGAGGTTGCTTACTTAGGCAAGGATTTGATAAATAAAACAATTACTGACCGTCCCGAATTGGTCGACATACTGCCTGAGAATATACAGTCTTCTCTAGATGATGCGTTGGATAATGCGCATCATTACGGACGCCGCAAAATTGAAACATATATCGATGACTGGCTTGCTGAAGCAGATTCAGTGCATGCGACAAAATTAAAGGAGCAAATATTAGATGTTTGGGATCGTTTAATACAGTACTGGATTGATGTAAACAAATCCGATTCCTCCTATGGACCACGTGTGCCAACTGATGCGCTTAAGACGACATTCGGTGAAATTGTTGATAATCCAGGTAAGCATTAAATCGGCATTACAAGTGCTGTTATTTGTGATTGTTTACCTAATCCTTTTTTAACCCAAACACAAAAACAAAAGCAATTTTTTTCATACAAATATTTTTTTACACATTGCAAAACTAACGCCTATAGATGTAGTAGATATGTACATACATCTGTATGTACAGTTATGTGCAAACATTTGTACATACATATTTATTTCAACATACTCATTATTAACAAAATCATGTACCAGGTGTCACTGCATAGGATAGAATGTTTTTAGAATACGGCTCTTCGAAAATCATGCTATTGGTGTTGGATTCTATTGAATAGCGTCATACTATGCATTTTTTAATAACGAAGTTATCTCATTTATCTTGTAAAATTAATATTAAACCTTAAATTTAAGAGTAAGCCTGTACTCACACTCACCAAGCGTTTGTAAATCGTATTTCTTAAGT